AGAGCGACGAGGACTCAAGCCTTGTTTTTCCCTTGCACCCTTCTAAGGGTTCCGTCGTTGAGGGTCCAAATCCGCCATAGGTAGAGCAAAAGGCAAATCGTCACGCCTTTTGTTCCCTTCTGGCATTTGTCTATCGATGACAGATTAGGGTAAATCTTCGTTGTGCGCCACTACAACAAGTTAAAGAAAAACTCAATCAAGAGGTATGTTCTATGTGTTATTCCCACAGACAGCACCAATTGTAAGAGCACGAAATAATCCCTCTCGTATAATCCTATTAATCAAGTTTTCCCTCCTCCAAACGTCATCGCTTTACTACCTGAAAATACACACGTGAGCTAGCTGACGTTTGTGTATCGGAAACACCTCCAATGCTTAAGTCAGCAGGTTGACGAAAGACACAAAAACTTTGTGTATTCAAGAGTAAGAATTGCAATACCTAGATATAGGTGCAGTCATAAGCTTTTATAGATTCTACGTTGTACAATCTTAGTAGGACTCCAACTCTCCTTAGCAGAGTCCTCTTAGAAATCACATTCCTAAGGATAATGTTTATCCTTAGAACACTATCCTCACTACTAACCAAGTGAGAATGAAAACACATTATGCTCGGCTATAAATGTTTGACCAATATACCTGGCCTCAGTTAATCGCCGACCGAACCGTGCAACCTCCAACCTTTTGATAGGTTTTGCCAAGCTAAGGGCGGCTCGGCCTCTTCCACTCAACCGATCATCCGCTAGCTAGGTCCAAACCCTTCGTAGTGCCTAGGACCGAGCTATCTGAGCCATTTCTTGGCCCATTGCATGGCCCAACCTTGGAGGATGATGTTACCCAGCTCGGCTCAATTTGATCACGCAAATTACCCTCTCAATTGTGATATAAAATATAATTAAATTAAAATTACATTAAAAATTAAGAATTCCAATAAATAATTAAATATTTAAGATTAATTGTAATTTAAATATAATTAAATTAAAATTAGAATAAAATGTTAAGAATTAAAATTGTATCAATATAATTAAATTAAAATTAGAATAAAATGTTAAGAATTAAAATTGTATCATTATTGTGATTTAATTGAATTAATATTTGATATTATAAATTATATATGTATAAAAGAGGAGAGACAAAAAAAAATTAACAAAAAAAATATAAGATTTAAAAATATTACAATCATTTTACATTTATAATTAACAGTATTGACTATTACACTTTTTAGTCCTACTAAAGCCGAACACCCCCACCCGTATTGGTAATCGTTAATGGACATGAAGGATATGGTCAGTGGCGGATTCTATGAAAGTCAAGGACCTACACATGACACTCAATTTTTTTAACAACCATGCTAAATACCCTTAGTGGGGTCGCACCCCTGTGAGGTGGCGCGCCCCCACTGACTGACAGTCTAAAAAAAATAATAATTTTTTTCCGCCCAATCACGGGCTTCAACCTCACTGGGGGTCGATCCCCAGTGGGGGTAGAAGGCATTTTTCTTTTTTTAAATTACATTTTATCTTTATAATTTTAAAAATACTTTTCAATTTGCCTCCTCTAAAATCATATATGTATACGCCTAAATTTGTTTCTCATCCATTTGTTTTATCTTTTTCAACAAAATCCTTTAATTTGATCATTTAAATTTTGTTTTGCTATACCATTAACTAGAAAAAAGACATAAATTAACTTCTTGCTTCTCAAAGAAATTTAAGAAAACATCTCTTTCTTATTATGTTTATTTTATTAATATTTTCTATTTTTATTGTTGTATATGTATGAGACTGTAATAGTATTAGAGCAAAATTCACATACTCTCTTGTGGTTTAGCATTGGAATAATTCATCCTCTTATACTTCAAATATAGATAGAGAACTCTTTTATGATTTTGGATGTGCAAAACTAATTCTGATAAAATTACCTAAAAACCCCTATATCATATTCTCTCTCACTTCTCTAATACATATAATTTTTTGTCTTAATCATATATTTAACAAATTGAATCATAAATTAACCTAAATAGCCTAATTTATTATCATAAAATTATAAATTTTTAACAAAATTTCTCATTTAATAACATTTTAAATTAGCATACCGTAAATTAACCTACACACCTTAAATTATTACCATAAAATTAACTAATCAAATTATTTTAATCAAATTTTAATTTTTAAATTTTAACTTTATAGTTTTTTAATAACATTTTAAAATAAACACAGACATACATATATAAAACAAATTAAAATAAACACCCTAATTTGCCATAAAATTATCTTATTTAATAACATTTTAAATTAAACCTATACATATATATATATATAACTAATTAATTCATAAATTAACTTAAATACCTTAATTTGTTATCACAAAATTAAATCATAAATGTACCTTAATCTAATTCTTATTTTTAACCAAATTTATTATTTAATAACTTTTTAAATTAAACTTGTATATATATATTTAACAAATTAAATCATAAATTAATTTAATCACCCTAATTTATTACTATAAAATTACCTTAATTTAAATTTTAATCTTTAACCCAATTTCTCACTTAATAATATTTTAAAATAAATTAAATTATATTGTTGATATAAAATGACATTTAGGGCCAGGGTTATGGCTTAGTTACGAATAGATTTAATTTGGAGAAGAACAAGAAGATGAAGATGAGAGTTTTTTTTTTTCTTTCTTTGCCTTGAGATTTTTGCATCACCCAGTCTCAATTTGAGAGTGTGTGACACACCTTCCGCTACTTTTAATGAAAAACCTTACAGTAGTTCTTTAGTTCAAAATCATAAGGAGTTCTCTATATATATTTGAATCATAGAAAATAATATGTTTGGTTTGAGTATGGGAGATGAGTTTTAGAGATAAAAAGTACAAAAAGTTGTTTGGTTTGATTTTTTTCAAAAGATGTTTTGGAAAATTATTTTGAGAGAGAGTTTTGGAAAAAGTGAGTGATTTGATGTGTATGAGAGAGAGATTTGTTTGGAAAACTTATAAACCAAACAAGTTTTGGAAAAAAAAAATTGAAAAAATTTGTTTGGTTTGATTACTTTTGAAAACTTATTTGTAGAGAATTTTTCTCAAAAATTTTTGGAAAACACAAACCAAACAAGGTGAAACTAAAAGAGCATAAAGTAAATTCGGTCCTTATTTTTAACCAACTCAACTCCACCCAATAATTTGTCCTAATATTGCTCCCTTGACCCCCGATTTGGTGTTTTGGATGCAATGAGTTTAGAGTATGTTTGGTATGATGAAATGAAGTGAGAATGGAATGAAAGTGAGAATGGAATACAAGGATAAATGGAATGCAATGTCCATTCCCATTCTCATTCCATTGTTTGGTTGCTAACATAGAATAACATAGGAATAGGATAATAATTCTCATTCTCATATTTGATTATACCTATTAAACTCATGAAATAAAAATAATTTTTTATTATTATTATTTTTTAATAAGATAGTAACAAATAAATTAAAAAAATTATATAGATCATGATAATATTGATAGTTGCGAAAGTAATGGTGTGAGTTGTAAGGGCGGCGGCAGCGGCATCGGTGGTAATGATAGCAATGATAGTAGGATGGTGGTAGTAGATTGTTGTGGCCTTAGTAGTGGTGGTAAGGTGGTGTTTTGGTTGTGGCGGTGATGGCAGCGGCAGCGGCAGTTGCAGTGACGGTAGCGGTGGTGGTAGTAATGGCAATGTTGGTAGTACGGTGGTGGTAGTATGGTAGTGTACTGGTTGTGACAGCGACCGTAGTGATAGTCGTGGTGTTGGTGATTATGGTGACAATAGGGCGGTGGCGGTGGTGGTGACGGTGGCGATGGCAATGGAGATAGGGTGGCGGAATGAGTGATAGGAAAATGGAATTGTAGCATTTATTAAATAATAATATATTTTTTAAGCGCCAACAAAAATATATATATATATATATATATATATAGTAATTCTATGATAGAATGGAATGGTCATTCCTTATCCTTATCGGACTAAACGTACTTTTAGTAATTTGGTTGATGAGTTTGTGATGGGTTGGGTATAGCTATCGTGGTTCAGTGGCAATAATCTTAGGGTTACTCAATTTCTTTTGGTTAAAATAATCAAAAAATTAAATAAAAATATTCAAACAATTGTTGAAAAAAATGCAAGTATTGAGGTTAAACATGTGCAAATATTTTTAATTATTAAATAAGTGATATGAGATTTGAACACATAATTAATTGTCTGCTCTGATAACAAATTGAATTCTCAAAAACAAAATTCTAAAAACTAAGAGCAATTCCAAGGTTACTAGGCAAAATTTTTTCTAAAAATACACATCTTTATTTTGCCTAATTAATTTAGCTAGTATGCACTCTAACCATATTCTTTATTTTAACTAATCAATCAGACTAACTTCACTAATTTTTAAAAGAAAAATACCATAAACATAAATAATAATAAAAAATATAAACTTCTTATGATATGTTGTTTATGCATCTAGTGTTGATGTGCATGTACAAATATTTATTTTTTTAAATATATATTTAAATTTTTTTTAAAATAATATTTTTACACGATCATATTTTTTTTAAAATAACAACGGGCTAGAATAAGGAGAGATGCAACAAAGATTGAGGGAGTAAGCGGAGACATAGACCTTAAAACAGCGGGAAAACCCTTTTGTCTAGCAATAGAGGCTAGCTGAGCAAAAACGAAAATGAGCAAAATACCTTTTGTAATGCAGAACCGATTAGAGAAAGAAAAAACTAACTTTACTAACAAAAATACCTCACTCAGATGACCTTTTTACCTCCTCCCTTGGAGATCCTCTAACAGGTCTAATATCAACATGTTGCTACATTACGTGGATGAGTAGACTACTTGGAAATGCATGTAGCAGAAACACATATCCAAAAAGACTTTGAGTAGATAGATCTATGAAAAGAATAACGAAGCAAAATGCAAAAGCTTCAATATATCAAATCAATGAAAGAATATTATTGGACTCACTTAGAGTTAGAGCTTGAGGGAAGGGTTGTGGCAGCCATGAAATGCTTGGGACATCCTAGACTGGCCTTCTCCAAGACTGCAAAACAGGGCAACTTTTGGGATTGAAAGGCAACAGAGTTGAATTTCACAGCCATTCTCTCTCTCTCTCTCTCTCTCTCTCTCTCTCAAAATTAATAATTGAGCTTTTGCGTACGTGGGATGGAGTGAGACTGAGAGGGAATGCAAATCACATATTTATAGTGCTAATCAGTAGTTCTTAATTATAGGAGAAATTTTATGGCATACAATCTTATGCATTTTGTTAAGTGTTTTTGTGATGTATATATATTATGTATTTTTATGATAAATGTAATAATATCATAAGGCCAAGTTTGGCATGTCTTGAAAAAGGCAAAAAGTCAAAAAGTCACTATCTTATTTAAGTCACATCATTTTATTTAAGTCACATCACCTCTCTAACACATCACTTCAAACCCAACCCAAACCCAACTCATATTTCATAAAAAATCAAAAAGTGCACTTATTTAGATCATCTCAAACAACAACAAATTGTCGTAACTCCTACTAGAAAAATACAAAACATTTGTCACAAAAATACGTAGCAAGTGCATATAGGGTGTGTATCATGGTATTTCCCTTATTATATTTTACTTTTTGTCATTTTAATATCTGTAATTTCAATTAGTTTGATTTTACCTTTAATTTTAAATTTTATGTCAATTTATTCTAATTCATAACGCTAACTAGGATTTTGAAGAAAAACAATCATTGAGTTGGTTGAGGTTAACTCACAAAACTAAACAAGTTTACAATTTTGCTTATGAAAATGATCATCTAGTATTTTTGCAGTGTCTGAAATTTTGGGAGCAAGTTTTATCGCTCGTACAGTGAATATTGCGCTCAAGCGGTCAGCCTATATGTTTTGCACCGCCTTTACTCACACCTCTCGAGTAGTGAAGTGTGCGCTCGAGCGGTCTTCACAATCCAGTTTATTATAAAGTGCGATGTTTGCTCGTTTTAGGATTTGAGCTGTCCAGATTTTCAAAGAGGAAGAAAAAAAACAAAGTGTTTTATATTAGATGGTGCTTTGTGAGTGTTTCCTTGATGATTTAAGAGTGACCAATGGATTCATGAACTTTATATCAACATCATCAAAAGGTTTGTTTGTTGTCTTTTATTCACAAAAGAGAGAGTTGTTCTTCGGTGGATTCTGAGGAACTTGGGCCTAAAGCTTTAGGAGTGGTTCATTGTCATGGATTCAACATCGGCGTTGTGGATTCAATTTAACGTTGGGTAAGAAATTTCAAGATGAAGACGGTGAGGGAAGAGGAACATCGGGGTCGGTTCAATTCGAATGTGGATTCGCTAGATAATTGAGGGTACACGTGTGATTTCTTTTTGTCTACTTAGTGTATTATTTTGTGGATTTGGCACGTAATTTTTTATCATAATTGGAGGCACTCCAATTGTGATTTTTTCCTCATTAAATTGGTGTGTTTGATTTGTCTTTAATTATTTGATTGAGATCGTTATTTATTGTTTAAAATTAAAATATAATCACAAATTAATATCTGAAAAATTTTAAAATTTTCAAAAATGATACAAAAATTAAAACATAAGGACTATCTATATAATTGGATCAAAAATAAATTGCATGTCCCATCATTGTCTTTAATTTTTTTATTTCAAAATAGTACGGCCAAGTTGTATTTTGCATAGTGGAAAATAGTTACTGCAACTCTGTTGAAGGTTGCTTTGGTTGTGTCAGTTCATCTAATTTAAAATTAATTGATAATGAGTAAAAGACTTTTGGAGTATATTAATAAAACTTCTTTTATTTTTATTTTTCCTCTAGTTCAAAAATGACATGTGAGACAAATCTAATTGCAATAACTCCATAGTCATCAATGATATCATCCGCCAATGATAAAACTAATGAAGGGCTTGTTTCCAGTCTATAGTTATTGAACTGGGCAACACTGTTTGGGTTTGCAGGACTATCACTGGTCCATTTTTAATTATTCAAGACGCATTACAAGAGAAAATATTTTTGGCGATCACCTATTTTCAGTTGGTCGCAAATAGTCTATTTTCTGCGGTTAAAATTTTTTTGGTCAATGATGAGTAAGTTTTCGCGACCCACAATTTTTTGGTGGCTAATAGCTAATTGTTCACGACCAAATACAAATCTGGTCGCAGAAGGTCGTCTTTTGGCGACTAAAAAATAAGTTGGTCGCGAATGATCACTTTTTGGTGACCAAAAAATAAGTTGGTCGCGAATGACCTAACTATTGGTGACCAACTACAAATTTTGGTCGTGAAAAATCACCTTTTTGCGACAAAAAAATAAGGTGGTCGCGGCAAGTTACGGTGGGATAAATTTTTTAAAAAACGGGTACTACTGTAATTACATTTTATTTTTTGTTTAGGCTATTTTTTGTTTAGGCATTGAACATTTTATGAAATAATATGTAACCCAATTTTTATGGATTATATATTTTCTCTGCCATATGTGAACAAGAAGCATAGTATTGGCAGAGTGGATTGGACGCATGGAGAGTGACTCTTTCGTTAGGAGTTCAACTCCTAGTGCAAAAGAATATTTTTCTTTGGTTGAAGGCGCTAACTTTTGGTGACCAACTATAACTTTGGTCACTAAAAGTTACCTTTTAGTTAATATGAATTGGACTTTTCGTGACCAATTCGCGACCAACACATTTTTGGTCGCAAAAAGATTTTAGCGACCAAATATGGCACTTTTCGCGACCAAAAACATTGGTCGTGGAAAGTATAATTTCTTGTAGTGACGTTAATTTTTTAGATCACTTTATGTAAATTACTCACAAAAAAAAATTAGGTCAATATGATACGCGTAGATCCATAATTTTGTAATATTTGTCTTTGACAAAATATATGATCTATTTTTATAATCATTCTTGTCATTTATTTTTAAGAGACAAATATATAAAATTATATATTTATGAATATCGAATCGATCTGATTTTTTATATATATAGATGATCTACATAAAGTGACGTAAAGATAAACAACTTTGATGATTGAAATGAGACTCACACAAATCCTAACAGTGTGGTCCAACCCAATTACTAGATTGGAGATAACCCCCTATCAAAACTACATATGATTAGTGAACTCACTGTTTATTTGTAAGTACTTGTTTAAAGAAATTTTCCAACACAATATATGTGGTGAGATTTATTACATCTACATTATAAGTTGTTATTGGGTGATATCACGTATTGACACTACAAGAAAAAGCATTTTTGCCGACCACTTTTAGCTACCAAAACGAATTTAGTCGCCAAAAGTCACGGAATTGGCTACCAAAAATAATATTAGTCGGCAAAAGTCAACTTTTTAGCTACTAATTTTTTTTAGTAGGGGAATGTTGATTATTGGCTACTAAAAAAAATTTAGTAGCTAAAGATATTACAATTGGCGACTAAAACAATTTTTAGTAGCTAAACATATGACAATTGGCGACTAAATAAAAATTTAGTAGCCGTAGAGGTACCTTTAGCTACTAAATTATTTGGTAGCCGAATGAAAATAAAAAAATTAACAAAATAGTTATTTTATTTTATTAATAACAATACCATTAGTCTCCACTTGAAAATTTGACTAAACAAAATAGTTATTTTTATTTTTATTTTTATTTTTAGGTTGTACACCCACCATCCAAAATTATTAATATCTTATTTTATTTTTTATTATCTAAAAATATTATTTTTTAAAAAAATTAATTATTAAAATAATATGAATTTTTCTCCAAGACTGCAAAACAGGGCAACTTTTGGGATTGAAAGGCAACAGAGTTGAATTTCACAGCCATTCTCTCTCTCTCTCTCTCTCTCTCTCTCAAAATTAATAATTGAACTTTTGCGTACGTGGGATGGAGTGAGACTGAGAGGGAATGCAAATCACATATTTATAGTGCTAATCAGTAGTTCTTAATTATAGGAGAAATTTTATGGCATACACTCTTATGCATTTTGTTACGCGTTTTTGTGATGTATATATATTATGTATTTTTATGATAAATGTAATAATATCATGAAAATACATAATTTTATTTCTCAACAACAAATTGTCGTAACTCCTACCAGAAAAATACAAAACATTTGTCACAAAAATACGTAGCAGGTGCGTATAGAGTGTGTATCATAGTGTTTCCCTTCTTATATTTTACTTTTTGTCATTTTAATATCTGTAATTTCAATTAGTTTGATTTTACCTTTAATTTTAAATTTTATGTCAATTTATTCCAATTCATAACGCTAATAAGGATTTTTGAAGAAAAACGATCATTGAGTTGGTTGAGGTTAACTCACAAAACTAAACAAGTTTACAATTTTGCTTACGAAAATGATCATCTAGTATTTTTGCAGTATCTGAAATTTTGGGAAGCAAGTTTTATCGCTCAAACAGTGAATATTGCGCTCAAGCGGTCAGCCTATATGTTTTGCACCGCCTTTACTCATACCTCTCGAGCAGTGAAGTGTGCGCTCGAGCGGTCTTCACAATTCAGTTTATTATAAAGTGCGATGTTTGTTCGTTTTAGGATTTGAGCCGTCCAGATTTTCAAAGAGGAAGAAAAAAAACAAAGTGTTTTATATTAGATAGTGCTTTGTGAGTGTTTCCTTGATGATTTAAGAGTGACCAATGGATCCATGAACTTTATATCAATATCATCAAAAGGTTTGTTTGTTGTCTTTTATTCACAAAAGAGAGAGTTGTTCTTCGGTGGTTTCTGAGGAACTTGGGCCTAAAGCTTTAGGAGTGGCTCATTGTCATGGATTCAACATCGGCGTTGTAGATTCAATTTAACGTTGGGCAAGAAATTTCGAGATGAAGACGGTGAGGGAAGAGGAACATCGGGGTCGGTTCAATTCGGATGTGGATTCGCTTGATAATTGAGGGTACACATGTGTGATTTCTTTTTGTCTACTTAGTGGATTATTTTGTAGATTTGGCACGTAATTTTTTATCATAATTGGAGGCACTCCAATTGTGATTTTTTTTCACATTAAATTGGTGTGTTTGATTTGTCTTTAATTATTTGATTGAGATCGTTATTTATTGTTTAAAATTGAAATATAATCACAAACCAATATCTCGAAAATTTTAAATTTTTCAAAAATGGT